GCTCTGCATTTGCCCTTAACACCAGTACTAGTATTGTATGCTTGGCTGATGTCCCTGAGTAAAGAGAAACTTCATTTTTGAGGGCCCTGTCACACCATCAGGAGTGCATTCCAGTGCATTCCGTTCCTCTGGAACGCACTGGAACGCAACCCGGGCGGCTCAGTTTTTTGGAGGGCAGGAGGGGGCGTGGCGGTGCATTGAACTCAATGGCACTGCAACCACGCCCTCCCGCCCACGGTGGATCACTGGCACCCGATTGTGTGGAACATTAGTGCCTGCGTTCCGGTCCAGTGCGATCGGCAAAAAATTGTGTTTTCAGCATTTTTTGCAGATTGCACTGGACCGGAACGCAGGCACTAATGTTCCACACAATCGGGTGCCAGTGATCCACCGTGGGCGGGAGGGCGTGGTTGCAGTGCCATTGAGTTCAATGCACTGCCACGCTCCCTCCCGCCCCCCCAAAAACTGAGCAGGCCAGGTTGCGTTTCAGAGGCCGAACGCACTGGAACGCACTCCTGATGGTGTGACAGGGCCCTCAGACATTGATCACAACAGGACCTGCAGTCAGTGACATATGCTGGGCATTACATTGTCATCTGCTGTCCATTGAGACCATGAATTGCAGCTGGTGTGGCAGAGGAATGTTTTCCTGCAAAGGTATGTCATGTGACAAAATGCCAAGAGCTGCAAGGGCAGCTAATGTTCCAAGATGCAAAAGTTCTTCACATGTTCCAAGATGCGAAAGTCCAAACACGTCCTTTAGGAACACCCACCTTTCACCACTACCAATGCAGTACAATGGCACACTTTGCATGGTACACTTTCTTTACCCACAGAAACCTGTCTCTGCCATGAAAAGGCTAGATGGTTGTGTTTGCTACCAGGCCAAACTTCCCCAATCCTTCCCTGTTTTCAAAGCACCTACTAATGTTGAAGGGCATAGAGGCTAGCTATCTGCATGACAGGTGACACCTTTACTGTCCTCTTGCATTGGAGAAACCAGCACACATGCTTTTACTGAGAACAATATGGAGGCTGCCATTCCTGAAGCACCTTTTGCCTCTGTCTGGTTTCAATAGTTTCTGAATTAATTCCTCAATAATTCTAAAGGTACTTAAACAAGTATGCAACTAGGAAAGTCAGCGTGAAGTCATTACTAGTGATATTCGTGCATTTCACTAGTCAGTGAACTGAAATATACATTGAATAAGAATGACAGCCAGGCAAGCATTTTCAGAAGAATGTAATAATGGCAGCCCACATATTTCCTCAGAACAAGTTTTGTAACTAAACCCAAGATACTAGTGCTGCATATTTTTATTGCTAACCGCTGCACGGTTGAACATTTTCTAGCTATTGTACTGCTGTATCCGACAAGGGAAAGCTTATTATTATCAGGTCTGAAAAACAAATTTTTTGCATTTCTTATGTTAATGAAAATTACACACTATTCCTAGCAAAAGTCATGTTGCTGTAAAATCAGTGGAAAAAATGTATCCATAAAAATATCCTTCCTTTGGCTTTATGAATTAGCATGGCACAATGTTGCAACCTCCAAAATAGGGAGAACTGAAGTGCTAAGTATGTGAAATAGCACTGCAGTGCCACTCTAGTCAAATATTGTACCTCCCACACAAAGTAATTTGACTGTAATATAAAATATATTTACTAAGGGCTCATGCACATGAACCTGCATACCCATCTGACAGCCTGCACAGCCCACCATAAACCCCGTACAGCCCGTCTGGGAGTCTGAACAGCCCACCACAGTGTCCACATAGCGCACCAAATAACCTGCACAGCCACCTGAGTCCGCACAGCCCACCACAAACCCCACACAGCTCACCATAGAACCTGAACAGCCCTCCTGAGACCCAACACAGCCACCTGAAATCCTCTGCTGGAGACATCAGACCGACACCCTGGAGCAGCACATGGTATGTAGCTTAATATTATTCTGCATTGATGTATAATGCATAGCTGGGATTTGCAGCCCTCTATAGCCAGTTGCCATTCAGCATTGCTGTTGCTGTATAATGTATCATGGGGATTTGTAGTTCCCTCTAGCTGATGGTATTATTCTGCATTGCTGTATAATGTATTGCTGGGATTTGTAGTCCTCTACAGCTGATGGTATTTTGCATTGCTGTATAATGTATTGCTGGGGTTTTTAGTCCTCTATATTGTGCCTATACTCAGGGAGCCTCAGGGAGTGCTAACAGTCCATGGGGTAGGAGTCTCAATACTTGCCTTGCCCCCGGGTGCTCACAACCCACGCTACACCGCTGATGGGATGAGCAGAGAGGTTCCGATTCTCATCCCCAGGACCTGTGAAAAGATGAACCTGCTTGGCCACATCACCTTGGAAAGCTTGTGAGAACTTAATAGTTGTATGCTAAATAGAAACTCCAGCCTTACCATCAGTCTTGCACTGTTGTACAGTATCCTGTCATGTACTGATATGTGCATTGGAAAGAAGTTGCAGCAAGTCAGATAGAGCACACCTAATTTCCTGACTGTAAGATGTTCAGCATCACCTACCCCTTCCCTCCTTACAGTTCCTGGCCCACTCCTTTCATTCATTCAATTTAGTTCTTTAAATCATGGAGACTCATTGGGGGGAATTTATCAAAACTGGAGCAGTTGCTCATGGCAACCACTCAGCATCTCTCTTCAGTTTGCTCAGGTAAGATTTGAAAATAAGACAGAGAAGCTGATTGGTTGCAGTGCAAATTTCCACTCCAGTTTTGATAAATTCCCCTCAGTGTATATAGAGATCAGTGTGTATATAGAGATCGATGTGTATATAGAGATCAATGTGTACTATACTCCCCATTGTGTATATAGAGATTGGTGTATATACTCCCGGGGCCCTTTGTTCCTTAGGTCCGCCACTGTGTGCCATGTATGCAGACCAACGTCAATCCCTGGATGCAGGTTTTACTTTTGTACTTTTTGTAAAGGTGCCCATACAGCTGCCGATTATCGTACGATAATCGAGGGTGATCCCGCGATCGTACGATAATTGGCAGTTGTATGGAAGGTGTGCGACCGTTTCTACTATACGGTCCACGTCTTTTGTCTTCCGAGCACACTTGAAAACCTGCCGAAAATCGTAAGATTTTTCGGCGGGTTAGTGGCGTGCTTGGAAGACAAATACCGAACGGGCCGGTGTGCGCACACTGCCAGCTCAGCATTGGAATCATCGGAAGTACCAAGATGGGCAGATCGTACGAGATTTTAATTACCTTACAACCATCGCACAACGAAAGTCGTGCGATGGTTGTAAGGTGTATGGCCAGCTTAAAGGTGCCCACACACCTTGCGATAATCGTACGATAATCGCGGGAAATCCCGCGATCATACGATTATCGCAGGGTGTGTGGAAGGCGTGCAACCATTTTTACTGTACGGCCGCACGACTTTTATCTTAGGAACATGTTCGAAAACCCGCCGAGAATCATACAATTGTGGGGGGGTGTGTGGCATGTTAGTAAGATAAATGCCACACAGGCCGGTGTGCGCAAGCGCACACTGCCCGTTCAGCATTGCGGTCACTGAAGCCTGTCTCCTCCTACACTGCAGCATTGGAATGTTTCCTTAGTGTCCTCTTGTCTATACACAATGGAGGAAATTGATCAAAACTGGAGCAGACAAAATCTGGAGCAGCTGTGCATTGTAACCAATCAGCTTCTCTCTTCAGTTTGTTCAGTTAATATTTGAAAATGAAAGAGAGAGGCTGATTGGTTGCTCGAGATTTTGTCTGCTCCAGTTTTGATAAATTCCCTTTAGTGTATACAGTAGAACGTGATGATTTGTGGAGCCTTAAGGTGCCCATATACCTTACACTTATCTGCAGATTTTCTGTGGTCAGATGGAAAAAATGCAACAGATTGGCCCTGAGGGAGATTACTCCATCCACACAGTTTTTAGCGTAGATGGCCACAGAAAATCTGCAGATAATTGTAAGGTGTATGGCCATCTTTAGACTGCTGCAGAGGAGGGGGAGAGAGGGTGGGAGGGCTGGTCTAAAGGTGGCCATACACTTTACAACCTTCGCAAGACCTTAGTCTTGCGAGGGTTGTAAAGTAATTTAAAAAACGTACGATCTGCCCATCTTGGACAGGCAGATCGTACTTGCGATCATCGCAATCCCGCCCCCCAAAGGGGCGGGCTTGCGATGACCGCAATGCTGAACGGGCAGTGTGAGCGTGCGCACACCGGCCTGTTCGGCATTTGTCTCCCGAGCATCATTCAAACCAGCCGAAAATCGTCGCACGTCTTCATTCACACTGCACGATTCTTGTACGATCGCGGGATTTCCCGCGATTCTCGTACGAGAATCGTGCAGTGTATGGCTTTGCAGTGCAGGTGAGTATAACTTTTTCATTACCTAGACAAAAACAAGCAGTTAATCATTGCAGTGCAGGGGTAGCCCTGCTGCAAGTGTTAAAAGTTTTGCCCAGGGTTATTCTTTAATATGTTTTTTTTTTTTATTAACCTGCTGTGAAAAGTTATATTAGAAATTGGCAGATATTTAATAAAAAGGTCAGTTCCCATGCTATCCAGCACATGAATGTCAAAATCTCTTGTATATAACATTTGTGATGCACAGGTGTTTTGAAGTATTTTACCTACTTGTACTTTGTGCCGGCTCCTATACTCTAATATACGTGTTTGATTAGTCACCGACACTTGTGCCATTTCAAATCTTTGTCCCATACCATCTCCTACAGAGTGCTTGTACAGGAGGATTATCGGGACATACTTTGCGTGCCATAAAGCCGCCCTCTCAGCTGTAGGACTGGCAGGAGGAACTGGCATTCTGGAGTCCCGAAGTGAATCCTTTTACGGTTCCAGCCTCTTTTCACCTGGTGCCCGGCCAGACTGGCCTTGTATGGGCACCCTGCGGACAGTAAAGGCGCCCAAGGGGGGCAAGGTCGGTGCCCGAGAACCTAATATGGCTAGACAGAAAGTAAAAGATCATGTTGAGAAAGGGTGGGCAGCGAAGGGCCATGGGTTATATATATACACATAGCCTTTATTCTGGACCGTAACCTGAGCGAGCTGCCTAAAGAGCCCCCAGCGCTGCCTGAGACAGACCGGAGACCGAGGTAAGAACACTGCCCACAGCCTCTAGAAGCGAGCGGGAAACTGGAGGGACGATCCTACATAATTTATACAATGGAAGCAATTAAACAAGATATCGTGAAAGACTAACGAGAATGAAAAATTAGTCAAATGAAAGTTACTATCAGCTGAGAATGCTTAAACAGATATAATCGCAATCCGCAAGATGATAAATCCATTTTGCAGCATAAAAATATAGTCTGAAGCGATAGGGTAATATATAATTACGAAGCCAGAATATATAAACTTTACTAAACCTCTGATACGCCTGAGACAAAGCATTAGAAGCTGATCAGTTTGTCAAGGCTGTTGTCCAGTGTGTGGTACCGCAGTGACTGGTTGAAATATAGTCATTCATTTATTTTCCCATGTGATGTGCAAATACTTCACAGAGGGGGCTGTCAAAACTAAAGCAGTGCCTATAGCAACCAGTCAGCTGCTCTCTTCAGTTTGTTCAGTTAATCTTTGAAAATAAAAACTGTAAGCTAACTGTTTCCAATGGGCAACTGCACCAGGCTCTGCTTCAGTTTTGATAAATACCCCTCAATGCTGTTATGCAGGAAAAGTAGCAGTGAAGCACACAATTCCTAAAGAAATGCAAACTTTCTGACCTTGCAAAATTTGCAGTTCACTTTTTATTTCTTGTGTGATTTATGTTAACTATCTATCCGTATGATTTGAAACTATGGTTTTACATGGTACAACAGGTGGAAATTTTTGATTAAAAAGACAGGGCTGACATTTGTTTTTTGCACATCATTATTTAATCAGGAATAACATACAAGTAATTTAAAAAGACGAGCTTTCACATTATATTTACTATTACCATGGATAAGCCTTTTTGTAATACATTGTGATTAAAGGGCAATATAAGCTTCCAATATTATTACTACCATTTAGGCCGTATTCACAGTATTAATAGTGGTCTTCATTTTGAACAATTTGCTGCAGAAAGTATTAAAATATCATGGAAAGATGGACCTCTGCTCAAACACAGCACAGTGGTCTTCTTCTCCATTGGTCTGACCCAGACCCCCACCCAGTGCTCCAATCCACAGTTGTGATGCTCTCCAGTGGTGATTGAAGCACTGGGTGTGGGGTGTGACAGACCACTGGAGACCCAATGTATCCAACTCTGTGTTCAGCAGCAGTCCAGTTATCTAGTGTGTTGCTAGCACAGGGTATTTTAATGCTTACTATAGCAAAAAACTACTTTTACAAAATAAAAAGGAAGCCCACAGTTATTAGTGTGTATGCAGCCTGACTGCATAACATTACAGCAATATTATATGAAGATTTAATTGGACTTTGAAGTAAAAGTAAACCCTACAATGAACTTCTTCTCTTATTTGCTCCCTTTTGGTATGCTAAATATACAAAGGGAAATTTATAAAAACTGGAGCAAACAGAATCTGGAGCAATTGCAGATGGTTAGCAATCAGCTTCTATCTTTCATTTGCAAAACCTAAAAGGAGAATTATGGGGCAGAAGTTTTTTTTCCATAGTTCTCCTCAGGATCATGGGAGGACATATACTATGGGGTCTACTCACGAAGCTGCCGAAGGATCTAGCCGTAGCTTCGGCCGATCCTTCGGCTAGCTTCGGTTACGGGAGTCCATTGGTTAATTCGAACAGAGAGCCTGCTGTACGGGCTATTGTGAATAGCCCGTACAGCTCCCGATCATGGCCGAGCGGCTCAGCCGAGCCGATGCATATGCGTTCGGCTCGGCTGAGCCGCTCGGCCATGATCGGGAGCTGTACGGGCTATTGTGAATAGCCCGTACAGCTCCCGATCATGGCCGAGCGGCTCAGCCGAGCCGATGCATATGCGTTCGGCTCGGCTGAGCCGCTCGGCCATGATCGGGAGCTGTACGGGCTATTGTGAATAGCCCGTACAGCTCCCGATCATGGCCGAGCGGCTCAGCCGAGCCGATGCATATGCGTTCGGCTCGGCTGAGCCGCTCGGCCATGATCGGGAGCTGTACGGGCTATTGTGAATAGCCCGTACAGCTCCCGATCATGGCCGAGCGGCTCAGCCGAGCCGATGCATATGCGTTCGGCTCGGCTGAGCCGCTCGGCCATGATCGGGAGCTGTACGGGCTATTGTGAATAGCCCGTACAGCTCCCGATCATGGCCGAGCGGCTCAGCCGAGCCGATGCATATGCGTTCGGCTCGGCTGAGCCGCTCGGCCATGATCGGGAGCTGTACGGGCTATTGTGAATAGCCCGTACAGCTCCCGATCATGGCCGAGCGGCTCAGCCGAGCCGATGCATATGCGTTCGGCTCGGCTGAGCCGCTCGGCCATGATCGGGAGCTGTACGGGCTATTGTGAATAGCCCGTACAGCTCCCGATCATGGCCGAGCGGCTCAGCCGAGCCGATGCATATGCGTTCGGCTCGGCTGAGCCGCTCGGCCATGATCGGGAGCTGTACGGGCTATTGTGAATAGCCCGTACAGCTCCCGATCATGGCCGAGCGGCTCAGCCGAGCCGATGCATATGCGTTCGGCTCGGCTGAGCCGCTCGGCCATGATCGGGAGCTGTACGGGCTATTGTGAATAGCCCGTACAGCTCCCGATCATGGCCGAGCGGCTCAGCCGAGCCGATGCATATGCGTTCGGCTCGGCTGAGCCGCTCGGCCATGATCGGGAGCTGTACGGGCTATTGTGAATAGCCCGTACAGCAGGCTCTCTGTTCGAATTAACCAATGGACTCCCGTAACCGAAGCTAGCCGAAGGATCGGCCGAAGCTACGGCTAGATCCTTCGGCAGCTTCGTGAATAGACCCCTATGTCTTCCAGTGACCCAAAACTCAGCATATATAGCGATCTATTGCCCGCTGTATGCTGAGAGAGCTGAAGTCGGAATGCATCTTGACAATACTGTCGAGATCCACTCAACTGACTGATTGACAGCTGGGTCTGCCCCAGTAAAGGCTGGGTCTGCCTCTGTAAAGGCAGACCCAGCTGTGCCCGCCCCCTCCGACCGCCTGTCCCTCCAGACAGTGCTGGAGGAGGGGAGGGGGGAATCCCTGCAGGGAGATGATCGGGAAGTGAGCAGATTGGTGATATGTTTTCGCTCACTTCCCGATCAATGAGTAATTCACTCATCCCATAGTTCTCCTTTAAAGTGACACTAAACTCAGGAGTTAGATCTTGAAAATGCATTCAGGTACCTTAACTAATAACAAAAATGTAGCTTATTTGTGCATCACTCAGCTGTAGATCCCCAAATCATCTACGAATTTGTGCTGACACTGTTCTTCCTTCTAGAGGGTGGCTACTTTTGTTCCCCATGGTCCCTGTGTGTGTTATAAAATAGCCAATACAAATTAGAAAACTAAACATGAGATTATAGTCCATCGTGGGTGCGAGCATGGAGTGTTGGACAAAAAGATTCCTCCCTCCCTTTAGTATGCCGGCATCTTCAACACTGCTGCACCCCACCCCCCTTCAAAAGGCAGAGGTGATACACACAAGTCGCACACCCCAAAGACTGGCCCTGGGGGCATCAAAACCACTTTTCCATCTAAATGGTTGCTCTCCATTGACAATGAACTTAAGTGGGGCACCAAAACACTGACTATGAACTAAAAGTTGATTACTACACTGACCACCAGTTCAAAGCTGGGCACCAAAATCACCATCAATTTAATGAGGGTGGTCACTACACGGACTACCAGTGTAACTGTAATTATTACCAGCTTGTTACCCTGGTATTGTGCCTATTTTTCCCCATGTAGTGTAATAATTGTTCATTTGTTGCCTATGCATTGTCATGATTGTATCTTTGTTGACCACATATTGCCACAATTGCCTGTTTCCTGCCCGCATATTGTACAAGATTGACCATTTCTTGCCAGTGTAATACAACGGTTACCTGTGTATTGTACCACTTGACAGTTTGTTGCCCTCCTAGTAATACTATTGACCGTTTGTTGCCCCCATATTTATATAATTGCCCTTTTTTGTCTACATATTATTGAGTCCGCACTCTTTAGAATACCGTATTACTATAATTGAATCACCTGTAGGTCTGTCACTGTAAAACCATGCCTCTCATGTGTATATTTCTGGTTATTAATCCATTGAAATTATTTATTTATTTTCCCCTTTTTGTACTGGCATGATTATATGTACAAATTTCAGAAGAAACATTTGTGTCTTTGTATTTTTTTCTGTCCATTGTTAGTTTTCATTTAATTTCATTATTATTATTGAAAATAAATTAGATGTATAAAGAAAGGTGTTAAAAAAAAATCATGACCTGTATGGTAGGTACACCACTGCAAATAGTGAACAACAGCGCGTATTAGTACTATAGGGGGTGGGCAGATGTCTACCTGCCTGTTGCTCTCAGTGAGACATCTGCCAGTCTTTTTGGTTAAAGGGAACTTTACCCATATCTTCAAAATAACAACAAATACACCTTTAGAAATGTTTAGTAATGACACTCTACAAACAGATACTTCTAGATAATTGCAGGTTTTTTATTTTTTGCATACCTTATTTTTCTTCCCCATTCTTCTAAAAGTGACCATTTTAACTAAGGGCAGATTAATATATATCTCCTTTTACTTCATGGATCTCTGGCACATGCGACTAGGATATGTGACCATGTTCATCATCGCAGAGGTGGAAAATTCCTTTCCACTAGATCTCACGAGATTACAGATTAGATTTTTTCCTGATGTAACCTTCCCAGGATGCAACACATGGGGATATTACATAATTTGTTCTAAAGTGGACTAGGAAGTGGGGAAAAGTGTAAGTAAAATAAAAAAATGTGTTTAACTAATGAATGTAAGATGATTTCATATCAGCATGCAGCTGTATGCTGATGTGGTTTTTAGTCAAAGTGGGTAAAGGTCCACTTTAACAGCAGCCTGCAGCTGTTTTGAGAGATCTTTATTCTTGATAAAACATTAAAATTCATACAATAGCCAAAATTGGGTTAAACACAATAAATCTTTAAAGTATATTTAAACCCTAACAATGAACTTGTCATATTTGCTCCATTTGATGTTTATTAAACCCCCATATATAACGGAAAATTGTATACTTACCTATCGGTAATTTTCCTTTCCTGACGCCAATACGTGGCAGCATACGAATGGGCTGGGGCGGAGCCATACCCATTCTTATGCTGTCATGTTTGGTGTCAGGAAATATATATATATGTCTGTATATATATATATATATCTCAAACATATATTAAAATGCTTTTAATGGAAAGCATTTTGTTTTATATGTTTGATAAGTTAAAACAATACCTACATGTCCTGTTAAAAATCCTGTTAACTGATGACTTCCTGTGCTCTCCTCCTCTAACTCTTACAGTTATATTGTTCCCAGTCCTATCTGAGGATTACAAACCCCTCCTCCCATGTATTGAAGAACAGGAGAGGAAGATGAGGTGTTCTGTAGACCTGTACTAGTTTGAAAACGCTATATCAACAAAGGTACAATTACAGTGACGGAGTGTGACAACACTCAGTCACTGTAATTGTACCTTTGTTGATACTGGCTGATGATCCAGCCAGTAACGCACCCTGTCCTAGGGTGACAACCCTAGGACAGGGTGTGTTACTGGAGTGATCATCAGGTTAAAATAAAGGAAAAAATCTAAATTAAAAAAACATAAAATTAAATTAAAAAACATAAAAAATAAAAATTAATGCAGCTACCAAGGACTGGTAAACTACAATATATTACATTTTGTTCTTGAGTTTAGATACATTTTAAGGAAGCTACGCAAGCCCAAATTTAATCATGATTTTTATTACAATGTAAGGCAATGTAAGGCTTGGGCTGTGTGGGGATTTACTCCATAAACAGTCAGACATTTCTTAAAACAATATTTTTTTTTTCTTTTGTATCTTCCTCCTCTTTCCCAAGGCCCGAGACTAGTTCTGTCCCTTTAGGGTGAAGAATAATGCAATAGATTGGGAGAAATAAGGGATAACGGTACTGGGTATGGCTAGAATTAGGGTAGGTGCAGGCTCAGGAGTACTGACAAACCACTTCCACCAAATATGTATATAATCAACGCCGATTGGCGAAAGGCTTGAAGAAGATTTAATTCTTAATTGTTTATATTAGACACTGAAATTGGTAAGGTATAATGTACGTGGTCTACATACGCCGGGTAAACGGCATCAGATTCTTAGGATACTTTATAGTTTAAAAGCTGATGTTATATTTTTACAGGAGACACATTTGTCGCACTGCACTGCTGCACGCCTACACGCTTACTGAATTTGCAGTGGAGTGTATTTTTTTGGCGGGTGATTTCAATGTGACTCTTGAGGTTGTCTTGGAGACCTCTTTCGATAGATCTGTGATACCATATACGCACCTTAACCAAACGTATGCTCCACTAGTTACAGCTAGTGGATGTTTGGAGGGTGTTGCATCCAAGGGATAAAGACTACTCATTCTATTCACCTGTACATGATACATATTCTAGGCTGAATGTGATCTTTATGAGCCACTTCTATTTGGAATGTATACAACAGGCTGCTATAGAATCCATTACCATTTCTGATCATGCACCAGCCTCAATAGACCTACTTGTACCCTCCCTCCCACCACCACCTATATCTTGGAAGTTGAATGCCTCCCTTTTACAAAATAAGATTGATGTTGCTGGCTTACTGAGGAAGCTTTGGGAGTTTTTTCAGCTTAACTCCAATACTGAAATGCCACTACCGGTGGTTTGGGAGACGCACAAGGCAGTCATGAGGGGTGGGTTGAAAGAACTAGGTACCCGCCATAAAAGAGCTAGGATTCAGCAGATGCAGAAGTTGTTAATGGAAATTCATACCCTTGAGATACTTCATAAACAATCCTTAATGCAGACACATTTAACTCAACTAATCTTGAAGAGAGTAAACGCGTAGTCTCCGGCTTCTCCTGCTAATTTGGGGAACAGGAAAGAGAAGATTTCTTCATATTTACGTACATGTTGACAAGCCTATCAGTCTCCACCATGTGCCTACAGGCACTGTGCTAACACCTATGGAGACCCTTCTAGATCCCATTTGCCCAACATTTATGGATTATTGGTGATACTCACAGTTACAGCATTTTCTTGTATTTCTTGCAGCATTACAGCATTTTCTTGTATCTCTTCCAAGGCCATTACGATCCTTAAGGTATCTTCATCCTATTGAAGCTATGTTTCTCTCAGGTAGTGGGCCTACCAGGTGTATCTCCCACTTTTATAAAATCTTGTTGGCATTTGGGAGACTGGAGTTTCACAATTTTTTGACTAGATGGGAGAGGGACTTTGGCAGCCCGCTACCTGATGAACAAAAAATTAAGGTACTGGCTCTTCTGGTGCACTGGCATGCACCATGAAAGAGATTAACTATAAATTGCTCACTCGTTGGTATCTATCTCTGTCCAGAATGCATAAGATGTATGGTGATCTTTCCCCCTTGTGTTGGAGGGAATGTGGGTATACTGGCGCACATATGGTGGACTTGCCCATTATACAGGAAAATTGGGGTCAGTGAGGACTTATGTGGAAATAATTATGGGTTCTTCTATAGAGGATGACCTGTGGTGTATGTTATTCCATCGCACTGCAGAATCTACAGCTAGATATAAATGCTCACTGATTCCTCACCTACTCAATACTGCGTAAGCTTTGATACCACGGTATTGGAAGAAGGTATTGGGGGCAGTTAAGCTAAATTAGACGGGACTTAAGAAATGGTTGTTGAAGTATTTTAAAAGGTCAGTATTATTAAAAGGAATAATTAAAATGTGAAATAATAAATCAAAATTGGTAGAATACAAGAAAATATGCTATATAATATTTGTATTTACTTTAAAGTCATATACTAAGATGAAATGTCTATGTTAGATAAGCTGTCCAGATGGAAATTTTTTTTTTGTTTTGTTAAAGTGTAGATGCTGATTATTATGTAAAAATTCTAAATAAAGAATATATATTTTTTTTAAACAATGTACAGGAAGACATCCTCAGTATGCTCTATCTTGGATAAAACAATAGTAATCAGCTGAAAATATCCAAATCTGCCAATTGCTATTGTTCCAAGATCAGTCAGCTGGAGATACCTGCAGAGAAGACTAAGAATATTTCTTGGTACTGTTAGAATAACAGCCCTTATTCATAATACCATACCATTGCATGCATCTTTGATGTTGGTAATGTTTGTTATCTCTTTGAAGAAAGCTAACATCATGTGTGACGATGAAGAGACCACCGCACTTGTTTGTGACAATGGCTCCGGGCTTGTAAAAGCTGGATTCGCTGGAGATGATGCCCCAAGAGCAGTATTTCCATCTATCGTTGGGCGTCCCCGTCACCAGGTATGCAGGGATGTATAAAAAGGGCCTACCTAAATAATCCATTCAATGTGTTTCTAATAAGGCAATAACACATTTCATTTAAAAGCGCTTGTACAATAAAGTTGTAAAAATGAGTGATAAACTTTGGATAAGCTTAAAAGAAAACGTAACGTTTGCAAAAAAAATAACATATATAATTGAGAAACAAAGATTTGATGTTATATTGCTATTAAAAATGAGCAGTCTGCAGACCCTGTCATTGTCTAAAACAGTCAAAGCACTGAAATGCCACTTACTTGGAGTATTGTAAATTGGACGTACTGTATGTCTACAAAAAAGCGTATTTCCTGCTTGTATGAATGGCACACTGCCTTTCTCAGAAGGTCACATATTTCAGTAATTTTTCATATTTTATAAAATGTAGATAATATATTTCTTTGTGCTGAAAAATATTGGGCCTAATTAGCTATCAGTGAGCCTCTTGCCTTATTGTTTTTACAGATGAACATACATTTCTGTACAGAAAACTAAATGTCTGGATTTAACTAGTTAAATCTGGCTTCAGTTCAATCAATAAATATGCACAGTGCTAAAAGTACCAAATAATAAATATGTGTAGAAATAAAAAATAATCTATACAAGTTATTTA